TAACGCGTATCGATTGCATAATGCGACAACTCTCAATCGCCGTTCTACACTTCTTGCATTTCTTTCCTTTGATCAGCACTGTTCCCGATTATCGTAGGCGAATAACCACGCATCATCAACATCATCGTGTACAAATTGCATGACGCGCGATCGAGAATTGTCGGTGAAGTTGCCGAAGTTTCTTTAGATTGCAGCTCGCTCGCGCGCGCTCTCTATCGCGCTATGATTAGTCTTACTTTTGTATCTAGTTGATACATAGCCTTGAGGCATATTTTCGCTTGCTTTTAATGAACCGTGGCGTATGGCCTACTTTTTACCTGGACGAAACGAATGCGATCGTTTTGTCATGGCTATTCGCGAATTTAGCAACATAGTCCGCTCCGTCAAATGATTGGCAATCGTTCTCTCTTTCTCTCTAGACGACCTCTCCCTTTCTCTCTCTTTTTTTTAAGTAGCTCTGATTTTTTTATTAACATATGTTATTAACTTGTTAGACTTCTCTCTCTCTCTCTCTCTCTCTCTCTCTCTCTCTCTCTCTCTCTCTCTGTAAGTAGACAACACCCATGAAACGTGCATGAAACGTTTTCACGATAATTTCTCACCTCCTTGCGACACGTACTTTCACGTACTGTTTACGCCAGTAATCGACGTCATAGGCACCATCAGTCGAAGAAATTGTGGTAAATTCAGCGGCGACGTCAGAGTCGTCGCTTTAACGATCTCGTGCGTTTGCGGTTTCTTCTGCATCGTAACATTCTCCCACCTACGAGAAAATTTTAAATAATATCCTTGATATGACTCTTATTACCTGGAACGTTAGAGAGTTACCTGAAATTACCAGGAGAGACGTGATACAGAAGAGTACCGAAAGTGTTAATATCGCAAGCTGCGTTCATTTAATTTTTTATCTCTAAATTCTTGCAAGAAAACTAAGATAAATGTATGAAGATATGTGAATTGAGAGAGCTCGTGTCAGAAAGCGTGTTTGCAACGAAAGTAACAGTTCACGTGGCGCATTCGAACATTCACGCGAAGGTTAAAGTACTAATTCCGAACACATATCTAATTGTTTTGTTCTTTAAATACGGGAATATGGGAACTTTCAACATAGAACACATATGTATACATATATTTCACATTTTTTTTAAATTTAAATAGTCTTATTTAAAGACAAAGACTATAAAAATTGCTAAATTCAGGTATACGTCCGGGCATATCAGTACTTTTACCTTACCTCGCGACGATTTTTCGCGGCGGGTTCTAAATTCCGATCGCTTTTGGGTTTCAACGATAAAAGAGGAAGAAAACGAGAGAATCGACTTTCGAAAAATCTGACGCGCGTTTAAATCCTCCCTCAGTCATTAGATTTGTTCGCGTTGCTCGCACTTTTGACAGTTAGTGCCCGTTGCGTACCAGACGCGAGTGAGCGAAATTCCATGAAAGCTTTTCTTTCTAAAGAGAGATCCAGTCTGCAACGGGCGTTAGATGTAAAAGTGTCAAAGATACAAGCAACGTGAACAAACCTATTGTCGCGCGGTCGTCTGCGGTCGCGACGGAATCGTATTTGGTTTCCGAAACGCGCACGCAGGCCGGGATCAAACGCGTTCTCGGTGTCGGTATCAGCAACATCAGCAGAAACGACAGCATCACCAGGATGGACCTTCCTCTCTCCTTCGCGAGGATCACGATTATGACGCCTTGAAAGTCCGCGGGTGTGTGCAGCGCGTCAAGCCAATGGGCGAGCGCGACGCTGGAGGCGCGGCGTGACGTAACGCCGTTTAAAAGGCGAGCCGCGTGAGACGAGCGAACCAGTCGCACGACGCGCGCTGCACTGTGTGCACATCCTGCTGCAGGAGGAGACGTCGGACTCACCACTACCACCACAACCACCACGGCAGGAGGCCAGTGCATTGGCGTATCCTGTCCTTCCCTTCCTCTCTCGCTCTTCTCCTCTTTGTCATCCTCCTTCTCCTCCACTTCTTCTTCTTTTTTCTTCCTCTTCTTCTCTCCACGACTTTCGCACCCATTCTCGCCTTCAACATATCCGGGGATTCCGTCGTCTCTTGAGGATCGCACAAGCCTGCCAAGATTCATTCCTGCAGAATCACACACACTCGATCTCATCAGTTCGCCAAAAGGTGATCTCCGGTCGAGAGAAGATCGTCGTTCTGATCGACTTGGTAGCGGCGCATCGATCGTGCGACTTTTTCATCGGAAGACCGGAAAGATACGCGAAGGTTGACTTGTGCGCGTCGCATGCGTGCGTACGTGGTGCGCGTGAGTGTAAGTAATTGAGCAAGAGAGAGAGAGAGAGAAAAGTTGTTTTTTTTTTTCGTTATAATGTTTAGGAGAGAATTCTGAGCGAGAGACAGACAGAGGCATTTACTGTTAACCCGTCACTAGAAAGATAGAATTTGATTAATTTTTCTATTCTTTTTTTTGGTTATATTTTTATAATTTCTCAAACCTCTCTTTTATAATCTCTTATGATTCTGTGGAATATTGAGATTTAATATCAACTAACAGAAAAAAGTTCTGAAGTTATTGCAGACGTTTAAAGAGAACGAAATGGAATGTGTACGGGCTTTCCGACGACGAGGTAATTCGCGATTCCGCGCTTCGCCGATTCGCGCCGATTCGATCGGCGAATAATCGGTCACGGGCGTCGCGCCGCGTGGTCCTCGAAGGTACACCTGGCCTTCTTCTTTTTATAGCGTCAAGCTGCCAGAACGTGCGCTGCTGCGAGTACAAATAATCGCGAAAAGATAACGATATCCAGTCGCGATATCGCTGATTATTCGCACGGAGGCCGACTCGAGTTTTATTTCTTTTAATTCGATTGCAATTTGTGCTATCACATTCGTGCAAACCTGAGAAATATACTTCTTTTTACGTGATCTTTTCCGATATAAATTTTTCCGTGATCTTTGCGATCGCGTTCCTATACCTTTCCGGAGTATTCTGATTAAAGGGTCGGTCCTGAGAAATCGCGAGATCGAATTTTCGGAACGGCACAGCGATTTCTCGCTGAAACTGCACACTGAGAGAATAATACTTGAGAATTTATTTGTGGCATATAAATTCTATTTTACAGAAATGAATTTCTTACTTCACACAAATAAATTTTCAAGCATTTTTCTCAGTGCAGCGAAAGTTCGATCGCGAAATCAGTACGACTTTATTCGCCTCTTCGGTGAATTACTTCCGTGTATCGCGCGGGACAGGAACAGGTGACACGCTCTCGTGGCCGTTTCGTCGGCTGTGAATGTGCCGGAGCTGCGGGGGGTGCCATTTAAGGGCGGAAATAGGCGCGAGTGATATCAATTTGCTGAACCCGTTGTGTTGACAAACTGGACGAGCGCGTCGCCGACACGACGCACTCGTTTACAGCGACGTGAGAGAGATGAAACGCATCTTTCAGTCCTGCGCTTGCAAATTTCGCGATATCGCTTCAACGTTACTCTTATCGCAGATTTGTCTTCCGCCATCGATATCCGACTGTAGTTATGCAAGAATGATTCAACCCACAAAATTATGATTTTTAAATTTTTGTTAGCAACAAGTAGTTCACACGTCTTTCTACATAAAACGGAAACCTAAGACTTAGGTTTAGCCTACAATTATTATCATCGTTCGCCCGCATCGCGACGAAACTTTTGCGAACATTTCGACAGAATTCGGCGCGGTTTTCCGCCGCGAGAGCGACACCTGTTCGCACGCAGGTGTCTGGCGCGACGCCAAAGTTAATTGATTGATCACCGCGTGCGCGATCTATCAATTTACGTTAACCAAATATTTTCCCGTTCCGGCCGGTCGTACGTGTCTCTCTTCGAAACGTTACATATTCGCATTCGCGGCCTTGGCGTTCGCTAGGCTGTGTCGCGAAGAATGGCGCGAAAAATTTGGCTCGTCGCGAATTCATACCTTGGCAGAGAAACAAATCAGCAGACAGGCAGGAAGCCAATCGGCACACTCGCGCTGGTGGGAAAGCAGGAAGTGTGGACCACCAGCTGACCATCGACGTGAGTTCCGGCTGGCTTCTGCTTTCTGCCTTCTTCCCGCGTGAATTGTGAATTCGCTCCTCTCGAGGAGACGGTGAAGCTTTAAGACCCTTGCACAATGCCAGACTACAGACAATAAAAATAGGCATTAGCCAATAGGAACAGGGAATAGAAATAATTGACCAATCCGAATTCCTATTCCCTGTTCCTATTGCCTGTTGCCTGGCATTCTGCAAGAGCCTTTACGCCTGCTGGCAACTCTGACTGTCGACGAAATACCTGCATTTTCGCGCATAATCATCCCGCTCGCTCATGATGAATTCATGATAATTCATCGACATTATCGTGCCGCGCGGAATGATCTATCGCGACGTACTGCGACGGATCGTCTGCCACCGGCGGCGTATTTATCGCCTCGCCGATACTATCGGCTCGTCGGCAACGTACCCGATAATTTTAATGAAACTCGCAAATGACGGAAGCGACTCCCCTCGGCCACTCGGCCCTCGGTTAATTCGTGCGCGTCGGCGCGTAATTAGTTAATGAGTCCGTGGCGATCGATTTACCGATGCGTAGCGATGTCACGCCACGTTTCTCGTTAACGAGCGTTTCGTTTTCTTGAAACAAAAAATGCAGGAGCTCGTCTATATTCATGTATTATAAAGGAAACATACAGTAGCGTTTTTTCTTCTTCCTTTTTTTTCTTTCTTTATTATGCATAATACCGCATTTCCATTTTCGAAGAGTGCCGTTCTTAAAAGCGATATTACTCGGTTGTTCGAGCTTTTACAACCGCTGTTTGGCATACCTATCTCTATTTTGCGTTACACGTTATGTCGTTATTATTATCTCTTTTCTTAGTACGTTATCATTATTTCTCTCTCATTACGAGGTTCTTTAATCACGAAAGCAAAGTCGATGCAAACTGTGTCTCCTTTCTTGCAATAGAATTACCACTGTCGCGCCTCTAACGCATCTATTTTGCACCTTGTGTTGCAGGGGAGATGCGGCCTTGGAGCTGAGACCGCCACGCCGGCTGCGAAGGTCCTTGGGCCCGCATCCTAGATCGATCACGAAAAAGTAAGGATCACTCGCGTAAGGATTACTTCGCGTCATCATCCTCGTATTTCCACTAGAAAAAAAGCCAAGCACGAGCGACACTTGTTGAGTCGAGCCAGGCCTAACAAAGAAAGAAAAAAAAAAGAGAGGAAACTAGAGAAGGTCGAGAAACGGACCAAACAGACGGGAGGGAACTGTGAGACGGAGGAAACGGAGTTGTTAAGACGAGAGTGAAGGAGCAGGCGGAAGGAAAGGGAAAGAAAGACACGTTGAGAGGAAAAGGCGTATACACATGTTGTAAAGTAACGTCGCGTGTTTTTTTTTTTGTTTCTTTATACATCTCGCAGTAGTTAGCACACGGGCGAGCAAGAAAGTGATAGAGTGACAGAGAGGGATTTATTGCACCCTCCGAAAAACGCGCCATAATCGAGAACAAGAAAAAAAAAACATGGCCATGGTCTCGACATGCTCCGTTCTGAGGTACCGTCCGCTGAACGCTGCGCTCCTCACGTTCTTCCTCATTGCTCTTCAAAGTTCTGCCAGTATCGCGGATAAGCCGGGCACGACGAAGCTGGACCCGTGCTCAAGGTAAGTGTCTCATAAGTGAAAACCAGCGAGCGAATGTATTTTCAGCCGCCACTCTCCGTATTCTCTAGCCGGGCTCCTCTAACCTAAAGTTCCTCGAGTCGGCCCAAGTCGAGATTTTTAAAATAGCTCGGTGTGGGCTTCTATCAAAATAGGTCTTAAATCAAATATTGAGGGATCATGTGATGATTCCTGATTGGACCTAAGTCTGTTCGCTATAAGGAAGAAGTGAATAGAAGTGAGAGAGAAGGAAGAATCCACACCTTGACAGAAGAGCAGGAAATAGAAAGTCAATCAGAATTCACTCTGATAGAAAAGCAGAAACTATCACCTGATCATCAGCGCGAGTTCTGATTGGCTTATGTCTTTCTGTCACTGAAATGACAAAACAGCTTTTCTCTCGCTTACTCAGTTCTTCCCTATAAATGGCGGGCGATGTCTTAACTCTTATTTGAAGAACTCTAGCCTAACTCTTTCGTGAACTGATCTGAGAGATGCACGCGTCGAGAAAATTGTCCGTTTCCCATTTTAAGTCGTCAGGTCGTCGATTCGGTTGACTTATCGACTAATAGATAGCAGGACACTCCGGCAAGTTAAGTAGCCGATACTTATGTGACTTTTAAATTGCGATTAAAGGTATCTCGGGTTACGTAACGCAACATGTGTGTGTGTTGTTCTGTTCGTTGTTGGCGACGCTTTTGTCAGCCGCGCCGGAAAAACGCGATACTTTCCTATTTCCGGCTGCGGAGAGTTCTCACTCGGTCCTTCAATTGATCCGACGTTGTCTCGGATCTTTTGTTTCTTTTTCCTGGCTATGCGTGCGTCGAGACAATTGCAATCTACGAGTTGATTTGTATCAACGAGCGTACTTCGCGAATGGATGTTTTTATTATTTTTATTTCTTCCGGGACGTTTCCAATTCACGTCCGAGAGAATCCATCTGTCTCCATCAACGTCGCCGTTGTCGCGTCATTTATTTAGCAGTCTTGTTACTACAAAATAATAAGATCAAGCAAAACCTGCGCGATCAACAACGCGTACATTCGCCCCGTGAAAGCGCAACGTCCGGCAGATGCGATCTTGACTAGTCGGAGGCAGTGTTGGGTATTGATTGGCGAAAATTTTCTTTGACTAAAATAGTTGGGCAAATCAGTAATCGAAACTAGCCAATCGTCATATGTAAAATCACAAATAATTTTGTCGGTTAATGAAATGAATTATTAACCAAACTTTGATGCGTTTGATTATACACTGATTAATAATTCATCTCATCAATCGATTAAATTATTTAATTTTATACGTGTCAATTGATTAATTTTAATGACTGATTTGCCGATTATTTTAGTCAAAGAATATTTTTATTAATTAATGCCCAACACTGGACCGAGAGGTGTCCGCAAATGAAGAGTCTCAAATTCGACGCCACTGACTTACGTATGAAAGGTTACGTCCGCGATTACGCACGTAACATCACGAAATTTCGTATCACAGGTATCATACCGCGTTCTCTTACAGGTCTCATACCGGTCATTGTCTACGTAAGCAGATTAACGTAGGGTTAATTACTTAGTGGATCGGACGCCGGGGGTATTAAAGCAATTTCGTGCGGCGCAGAGCCGCGACTTGTTGCGCAACGAAGAAAACGCTAATAAGACCGGAAAAGTCGATGACGGGCACATTTCTACGGGGTCCTCATTTTGCTATTGTTGCTACTACATCGGTTTCATGGCCAAATATATGCTTGCTGAGAGAAGAAATGACTGATCTACTTAAATTAATAATTGTCTTCGGCCCTAACCATATTTTTCGTAGTAAAATGGTAGCTTTATCTATATATTACGATGTTACGAGTAATGTAATATTTTATTGTGCGAGTAATATTTCAAGATTTGTGCGAGTCTCAACTGTTTCTTTCAACTGTCAGCCGCGGCATTGCGTTGGGACTTGGTCCAAGCGCTCATGAATGCTTGTGACGCAAAAAGCGAAGCCACCACATGGTGCGTGAAAGCACGTGGCTGAAAAAATAGTCCGTTTTCGAAAATAGCTCGTTGACCGACTCTAGTCGTCGCATCGGTCGCGTATTTCGAAGAACATATGCGCGCTGTTAATGTCTTCTAATGTGTCGCACTTAAAATCGTTATCGTTGCTTCTGGAAAAAAGCGACGATAATATTTGAGGGAAAAACTCGCTCCGCGGATAAGGTGCGCACAAAAAGCAAAAAAAAAAAAAAAGGATTTTACTGTTGCACCTAATCGTGGTTTACCGAAAGTGTACTTGTTGCTACAACTTAAGATTTACCGCTGAGAAAAAATATATCAAAATTTATATATATTCTAAAGATATAGAGATAAAATATATCAAAACATTTTTTCTTAGTTTACACTTTATCCATGTATTACAACGAGAATTTGTTATCACAGATTGTTGTTGCGGCAGTCGAATTTTTCTTCTGTGTGGAATATTTCGGGCGTCAGGATTCTCCTGGCAAATCTGCGCGCGAGAGATTTGAACGGTGTCTTTCCGTCAGTCCGAAAGGCGGCATAATTCCACGGTATAATCGTGTCTCTGACGTGTCTCTGACGTGCGCTAAGGAATTTGTATCGTTTTCAATTGAGCGAGATTACGCGCGCGGCGTTAAACGCGAGTACGCGAATGCGTGACGTGCGTGCGACGCGCGCCGTCGGTTTAGGGAAATGACCTTAACAATGAACTTTGTCCTGAGAGGCGCGTGGCAAGTTGGGCTCTAAATTAGCGTGTTCCGCAAGTACAATGGACGTGACCTTTATATACGTCTCCGCACGCGACTCTATGTGTGCAACTCGCAGACTTTGCATTCGCATGCGCAACCGACACGATCACGCGACTCTTAACGCGCGAAATTTACGATTTTTCTTATGTCGATATTTTTTGCAACATTTTTCTCGCGTCTCTGGCGCATTTTTCACCCGCGAAAAGAACGCTCGGCATATAAACTGATGGAATTTTTTATCTCTTTTCTATTGAACTTTATCTTTCTCATGCTAATTGCGTTCCAATTTTAGTCTCCCGGCTTCAGTCGAACACGAGAGAGAGAGAGAGAGACAGAGAGAGACAGAAAAGCATTTGGTGGAAAACGTCAACACGCCAACATGATAATGTTTTATTGTCATTTAATGTTATTGTGCCGTGACAATATTTTCTTTTATAAATAGTTATTCGCCATCGATATCGCGAAAAAATCTTGGATAAAATAGCGCATCGCGCTATTTTAAAAAACGAAATTCCCGCTCTAACGTTATGGTTTTCTCTCGCAATAAAGTTATCGGCGACGACGACAACCTATCGCGAGATAAAGCCGAACGATATCGCATCGCGCTTTGCACAAAGCTCTTAACGACGCGATCTTAGAACGATGATAGTCGGGTTAGAGCTTAATTGACGCGAAACATGCGACGTAAATTTCGCATCGACATTTGCAAGGGAACCAAATTGATCCTGACGAATCTCGCGCAATTTCTTCGCCTGGTAAACTGATAAACTGATAAACACTAAGCACATATCAGAATAATTCTCTAAAGCGACACGACGTGAATTTTGCATCGGAATTGCCAGAAAGTTCGCAGCGCGCGCGCATGCATCCGAGATTCGGATAATATCTCTGTTTCTCGTCTTGCCACATGAAGGTGTTTACCGAGTAATACAAACGTGTCGCGACGTGGATTTAATTTGCGGTGATTCGAATCGCGTTCGCAAGATAACGCATCCGGATATATTCGGTTAATAAGCGCGTTTGATGCACGCGCGTGATGAGGATTACAGCGACACGTAAACGCCGAAAGCTGTTTTGCGACGTTATGTCTCTCCGATATACTGATAAAGCAATGCTTGGTATTTGCAACTGTAATCACGTACAGATAAAGAATTACTACAATTACGATCAAGAAAATTTAATAAAAAAATTTTTTATTAAATTTTACTATATTTATGTGTATGTTACTACCACCATTTTTATGTTGAAGCTACCAAGAAGAATGATCAGGGTAAAGAATAATTATAATTTTAATCAGATTAGCATATTTTTCTCTCGGTGCATGTGCAAGCTTCGGTCGACGCCGCAATCGAAGCGTTCGAAATGCGAAATAAATGCGCGCAGCGCGAAGGCGAATGCGAACGCTCTCGTAAAACGTCTCGTGGGATAAATTGATGTTTCCGGAGAGATCTTCCGAGTGACGTCGTAAAATAAAGTAGTGCGATCAGGCTTCTTGGCCATAATGACCATTCGTTTTCGAGGATGAATGCCAGCTTTGATAACATCTACGGGAGAGTTGCGAAAATTGCACTAGTCTCCTACACGCAAAAAAATAACTAGCTTCTAGAACTAAAAAATAGCTGTGACAGATAAAATGTGTCACTGAAATAGGGACAGCTAATGTCGATACTACCGAAGCTAAATTTATTCGCTGTTTAAACTTAGGTGTTACAGCGAGAAATATTAGCTGCTAGAAACAAATGATTGTAGCTGTGTGGCAAACTTCTTTAATATATGCATACGATAAGAAATTTAGGAATAACTGCCATTTTCTTAGCTATTTGAAATAAATTTTTAGTGCCACCTAATATATTTGTATTTCATACCGAATGCATTTTAGCTATCATAGCTAATTCTTAGCAGGGACAGCTAAACGATTAGTCTTTTAACTAAGTTTCAATCAGCTTTCGCGGTTTAGCTGATATTACCAAGTCATTTTTTTGCGTGTAAATTGCATCTGACTTTGTTCTATGTTTGTAGCACACACAAAATACAATGTGGAAATTTTTTTGTTGTATTTATTTTTGCAATTTTTGTGCCTGAACAAATTTTTCTGTCTTTGAGGGAATTCTCCTCCCGCTTTTGTCGAAATCTTCTCAAAAAGGGACGTCCAAAATTTCGCATCAACAACCCCGGTCGCTCGATCTCGGTAGAGACTTCGCGATTGAAGGGAAGACTAATGTCCTTTTGTGAATACGAGACAACTGTGGTATGAAGATTTACGCGTCGTCGAATAAGTCGGCGAGTGATTCTCATGTTGTTGCGTGACGTAACACGTGGAACCACGTTTAGCTGATTAATTGAGTCGACGGGTAATTAATAGTCCACCTTGTCGCGCATTCCCGTGCGAATGATTTATCATGACCACGTGCGTCTTTTTCTTGATCTGATGTATGTTAATTTCTCGATTGGTACACGCGACGCGGTTATTTTCCACGATTACTTCTACGCGCTCGACGTCAACGTGTACGAAATATTCCGAATTGCGCAGTTTACCGCACGAGGGAAGCTAGGAGAGAAGAAAAACACACGTGATGTATACTTAATATCTCGCATTTTTTTTTTTTATTCAACGAATTAACGCACAAAAAATAACGATCTAATCAGAAAACTGGAAATTAATCGCTGGAGGAACAGTGTTAAATTGTACCTGCAGGCGGGATTTCTTAGCGTATCTCGGCGGAATTATCATAATTATTGCGTGACTTTGAATCTGCCGATAAAAATGGCATGCATTTCTGATACAAATTCGTTGCTTGTATCGAGAATCCAAGTGCATGTATTTGGGTTTCCCCGTTTCCACATAATGACCGAAACGTGCCACTTGCTAAGTGACGTAAATATTGAGATCGCACTGTCGCACCTTCCTACGTTCGAAACATATTAACGATAGATAATCGGTGATAAGAAATAGAATTGGCGAAGAGGATGCCCTCTCGAGTATCACCTGGTAATTTTGCAATTATTCAGTCCCTCTCTTCCTTGGACCCTAAAGATTAAAAATTGCCTATGACTGGACACTAATCAGGAGACTTACAAGTTATATTTTCAAATACCGCTCGTGTCTATTTGAAAAAACTGTATTGCGATTGTATAACGATTCAAACTTTGCGATTCAATAAATAATTAAGAGCTTGGAATCGAACACTTCGTAGAAACACGCTTTACATTGCTGGCTTTTCCTACTGGCGATCGGATAATCGGTGTAATTTCATTTACATGTAATGAGGAAACAGTGGCGTGGATCGCTGACAGACGAACGACGAAAAATCGCGACGGTTTTCAGCGCGTCAGGAAAATTCTGATAGCTCGTTGACGGCGAGCGAGCGAGTGAGACGCCATTTCCTAGCTTACGTTAATGACGGTAATAAGGAGGCTAATCGCCGCTCGCCACATCACATCTTACACATTCCATCACGCGATCGGAATTTTCATATCGCCATGTCTCTTTTCGTGAAATGTTGAGTGCGAAATCGCACGTCTTCCCAGGTGCGATCGATCGCGCCTTCGTGACGGAAATCTCACATCCTACATGTGTCAGTACATTTTCCTTCAGCTTACATAGCCAAGAAGGGGATCAGTTATATTCTTTAGGGACTTCACGAATGTATTCTTTAACCATACACAATCCATCGCATTTCTTATTTCTACCTATCTTACTTATCCTTATATAGTTACATCGCGTCTCGAAATCCTCGCGCATACATTGAAAACGTTATTTTTATATTTGGAACTAAAAAATACATACGATCTCGTTGGCGTTACTTTGTTTTTATTATGTTTTTATTTGTGTTCTACGCAACATTATTTTAGATATTATAAATTATAAATCATATCATCTAAAATCGGGACATAAGACGTCTTTCAAACATCCTGTGTCTCGATTTTAAATGTTGTGTAGATCAAGTACATGTGTCAGTACATTTTTCTTCAGCTTACATAGCCAAGAAGGTTCACGAATGTATTCTTTAATCATATACAATCCATCACATTTCTTATTTCTACCTATCTTACTTATCCTTATATAGTTACATCGCCTCTCTCTAATTGACTTTACAATATCATCCTCATTACCTAAATACCCTTGTAATCTCTTTTCACAATCTTCTTATTTTTCACTCAATCTTTATACTACCTATCCCTTTATCTTTCCTCTTCCTACTCGAATATTCTTATTGGTCTTTGGTCTTTAAATACGAATATTTAAACTTCTCTCCAGTATAACTTCCAGAATCTACATATATTCTGTATCGAAAGATTAAATTTTTGTTTTTGAAAACCGCGAAACAATAAGAATGTCCTAGTTTGTATCCGGGAATTGATACTTTCGTCTACATTGCAATGTAGTTTGATGTTATATCAATGTAAAGAAGTATTAGGAAACGTCGCATGCTTCGGCGAATTAAGTTAAAATTCACGCTCGTCGGGCGCTTCACGCTTCTTGACTCGTAATCTTCAGGTGATTGCGACGGGACGTTCTCTCTTTTTTCTTATTTCGCGAAACTTTATGGTCATAATTACGATTGTTCTTTTTATGAACACTGACCTAATCCTTATTCGGTACGAACAAGTGTATCCGGAAGTGAATCGAAATATCTCTCTGGCATTCCGCATTTGCAAGAACAAATAAAACGACGTGAGATCGCGAGATTAGGATTTTACCATCGTCAAGCGAGCGTGTAACTTTTTGCACGTTTTGTTTAGATTTTTATCGTTGCGCTATTATCACTAATGAGCATAGACGATTAAGGACTCGTTGGAATTAATGCTAGAATTTTGAGCAGATTCGAAACTTAACGCAGATCCTGCAGAAGCAGAAGCTTGCTTGACTTTGGTATTTCACATCGCTGTGAAAGAAGACTTCAAGGTTCAATTGATATTAATTAATATTGTGACTAATTTCAATTTATGTCATTTTAATAATTTTAATTGATAAAAAGTACTTTAAATGTATACCTAAGAAGAGAAAGAGAGATAATCAATACAAGACGGAATACAATCCGTTGAGAAAATCTGTAAAACTTTTCGATTTGTTCTTAATTTTGTCGAGAGAAAGAACATTTTCAAGATGGAGCAAAGGCTCTTCTTTCTCATCACCGTTACTATAGTTTCAATTAGGTTAGCGATCTCGATCGCCGCTTCATCAAAAGTCCTCTCTCTCTCTCTCTCACTGCGGTGCAAAGTTCACAAGTTCAGCTCGCGATGCCGTCCCCTATTCCGCGACCCGCCGCGTTCGGCCAACGGAAGCGAGCGAGAGACCACCGTCGTGGCGGGAAGTCACGATCGGCAGAGTGTCTCCTCGCCGAGTCGATCGAGCCCACACAATTTCCTACCCTTTCCAGTGAGGTATACTGCCACGGCGAGCTGCTGCACACGGTACAGATGGCCGGCGTGTACAAGGACTCCAAGTACTTCGTCGACATGAAGATGAGGCGGCCGCCGAACGAGACGCTGGCGTCGTTCCGCGCCTTCATGAGCAGCGTGAACAACACGCCCAAGAAGCACCAAGTCGAGAAGTTTCTCAACGACACCTTCGAGCCGGCCGGTTCGGAGTTCGAGGAGTGGGACCCGATCGATTGGACCGCCAGTCCCGCATTCCTGCGTAAGATCGAGGACCACGATCTGAGGAAATTCGGCTCCGACCTCAACAACATCTGGAAGATGTTGGGCAGAAAGATGAAGGAGGAAGTGCAGCTCCACGAGGAGCTCTACTCGATCATCTACGTGCCGAACCCGGTGATCGTGCCCGGCGGCAGGTTCCGCGAGTTCTACTATTGGGACTCGTACTGGATTATCAAGGGCCTGCTGCTGTCGGAGATGCACACCACCGTCAAGGGCATGCTGAACAATTTCGTGTCGGTCGTCGACAAGATCGGCTTCATACCGAACGGCGGCAGGGTCTACTACACGATGCGCTCGCAGCCGCCGATGCTAATCCCGATGGTGGATGAATATCTGAAGACCACCCACGATCACGCGTGGCTCAAGCAGAATCTGTGGCTGTTGGAGAAGGAGTTCGACTTCTGGATGACGAATCGCACCGTGGACATCGAGAAGGACGGCGCAAACTACACGTTAGCGAGGTACTACGAGGAGTCGTCGGGCCCGCGACCGGAATCGTACAAGTGAGTGGTCAATGTTGTCGTCGCGTTTCCGCGATCGGACTCGCTGACGAAGGCGATGACAAGACGGATCTCCTGAGAGGAGGAGGAGGATGACGATAAAGGGCGATCATTCGGTCGGCCCGCGGTCGAAACACAGCCGGGGTTATTATTCCCTCTGAAGACCGCCCGCAGTCGGCGTCTCCTTCGTCGGTTATTATTGCTCTGAACTGGAAACAATTTTCGTAAATTATCTGATAATCGCAGCGCTCCAAGAGAAACTCTAATTTTTATGAGACTTGCGCCATTATGTCGTGAGATAATCGAGCGCTGTAATTGCTGTTGCTGTGTCAAGTGCCGAGGCACTTTGTGAATCTTGTTGTTCCTCCTCGTTTCTCTCAAATTACCTCCGCTTCACGATCGATCTCGTCCTCTTGGAGATCCGTCTATTGTTATTTCGTGTCTTTTTAATCTCGCGACTTGATCGGGCAGGGAGGACTATCTGACGAGCCAGAGTTTCCGAACCGCCGAGGAGAAGGACAATTATTACTCGGAACTGAAAACGGCGGCAGAGTCCGGCTGGGACTTTTCCAGCCGGTGGTTCGTGCACGAAGGCACCAACAAAGGTAATTATCGTTCCTCAATTATTTCCCATGTGACGAAGCCTCTTTCCTTCTTTCTCTTTCTTTCTCTCCTTTAGGTGAGCGACGTATTGAAAAACAAACATATTATACCACGTATTATACGTGTGTGCATATGCGCGAATAAATTGCCTCTGATCGTCAGATAAAACGACATTGTCATAGACATCATAAAGTATGACGTACTATCGCCAATTGCTTCTACGTGTCGTCTTTTATTCGCGATAAAAGCAATAAAAAAAATGTTTCGCATGTAGAGACATTTTTTTACAAAGAATATAATAGATCAATCGAAGCATTCCTCGAATTAAACAATTATTTAAAATGCCGTTACCAAATTTTGAAACGCTATTTTTTGAGTGGACACGTCTAATCCTAGAAAATTAAAATCCCAAAATTTGAAAAACAGGGATAACGTCTCGAAAAGTCACAATTCCAAGAACTGAGTACAGGAACAATCCTTTGAAATATTGAAAGTATGAAGTTATCACAAGAAGTTGTATGATAAGTTATTGACAACTTCACGCTTGTAATATTTCGGAAAAATAATATTTCGCTATTCAGTTTTCGCGATTGCGACTTTTCGAAACGTTGTCCCACCTTTAGAATTTCAATACTTCTCTCTCGGGATTTTCTGCCCGTCACTCGTGACTGTTTTGATTTTTCTTTTTTTACACCGAAGCTGTTTTAATAATATACACGGCACTCTCACAATTATTGTGCTACGTATTCCGCGTGAAACGTGGCCGTATCTTCAATGAGATCTGCGTGCGCGTCAAGGCTCTTTGTGTCTCGTTTCTCAAGTGAAAGCCTCGTTCGAGACTCGACGATATTCTAAAATCCGTCCTCGCGAAATCAGGATGTCGCGATCATTCGCGGGATTCCTCGGATTGCGTTTAATTACCACTTCGCGACCCTCGAGAAACGTTCTCGCTCGTCTTCGCGTTAAGCAGAGATACGACTGAACGATGCGCGTGGAGAAGAAGTCGCCGCGATCTTTTCTCGTTTGGCAGGAGTCTTCGCGAGCCGGGACGATTAACCACGGGACGAATTGCAGGTAACTTGACAAATCTCAAAATCAGATCTATCATCCCGGTCGATCTGAACACCATGATCTACCGGAACGCCCGGCTGTTGGCGAAATACAATCGTCAGACGGGCAACGAGACGAAGGCCGCCTATTACGACGACATTGCCGAGAAGTGGAAGGAGGCGGTCAGGATCGTGTTGTGGCACGAGGAGGTGGGCGCCTGGTTGGACTACGATATGCTGAACGACATCAAGCGCGACTACTTCTATCCGACCAACATCCTGCCGTTTTGGGCCGACTGCTACGACACGTCGAAGAAGGCGGACTACGTGTCGAAGGTGCTCAAGTATCTGGAGAAGAATCAGATCATGCTGAACCAGGGCGGCATACCGACCACGCTGGAGCACTCCGGCGAACAGTGGGACTATCCCAACGCCTGGCCGCCGCTCCAGTATTTCTTCATTGTGTCGTTGAATAACACGGGCGACGCGTGGGCGCAACGCTTGGCCTACGAGATAAGCGAGAGATGGGTCCGCAGCAACTATAAGGCCTTCAACGAGACGCACTGCATGTACGAAAAGGTAACGAAAATAACAGCAGTTCGGTCGGATCGGATGGAATATTTGTCTAGTCAACGTCGACGTACACTCGTAGACAGTGAAGTTGACATTTTGAGTTTCGTAATGTAGATCCTGGGGTCTTATTCTCGAAAAATATCGCATACGATATTCCGTTAAAAAGCTATAGTATGCGTCACATAAACTATAGTTTTTCGTCGAAATATCGTATGCGATATTTTTCAAGAAGACGGCCCCTACACAGAGAGAACGATTTATTGAATCAAATAAATGTTTCTTTGGAATAGTCCAAACAAATTATTTGGTTGATACAACAAAAATATTTCTTTGGAACTAAGCCGCAAATAAATATTTTTGTTGCTTCAAATAAAATTTTGTTCAATCAATCAAAAAATTCGTTTGGATTATTCCAAAGAAGCGTTTATTTGATTCAACTAAATCGTTCTCTCTGTGTATTCAATGGGAGAATTTATAGTTCCTATTGGACAAACGGGAACCTCATACTAAACGCATCCGTCGACTTTTTTGTTCACGATCATATGTCGCTTGAAATTGCCGATCGATTATTATAATCAACTGGTTAATTTCTGCAGCTCTTTAGTTAAATATTTATTTGTGAAGTACTCAGACTTCTTCTCTTGTAGCGAATTGATCTGAGTGGTTCGTGTATGATTTGCTTTGAGTCCTTGACAGGAAAAATTTGGTGTTTTCTGTTCGCAGTACGACGCGACCGTTTCGGGCGGGTATGGTACTGGAGGTGAGTACGAAGTTCAGCTTGGTTTCGGCTGGTCGAACGGGGTCGTTATGGATTTGCTGGATAAGTATGGCGACAGGTTGACCGCGGAGGATTACTTCAAGCCCGGCGACGTGATCGAGAACTCAGCGCCGCCGCAGGTTGTCGTTTCGACAGCTGGTCAAATGCTGACTGGCATTCTAGCTCTCATCATATCATTAGCAGCAGGATTCATAGGGTGAGGTGAGTGTCGGCTCGGCGAGAGGAGAGCGACGGAGAAGAAACGGAAAGCACTCTCGATTATTACGATAAATTTATTCCTTTAATCCCATCTTACGATCCGAGTCGATTCCCTTGATTAACCGGCCACACGTATGCACGCATGTACTGACAAGTGTTTCCCCTCTGCTTTCTGTTGCAGATATCCACGTGATCTAAGTCAGCTAGGATATTATTCGCGGAAAGTTTGAAGTATCGATCGCTAGACGACAGACACTTTCGGTCTTGAAAGATCGATCTGAGCAATAGTTTTTTATCTTTTTTCCTCGATCGCCCAATCGTTCAACTTGTTAATTGGACGATTGACGAAGAGATCGCGTAACGGGTAACGGGACCAAATAGGAGCAAGTGCGGGCACTGTTCTTCTTACACGGATACACTTCTGAAAGACTCCGATTACGCATGCGAGGGGGTCTCAAAACGAGCGTCATTCTTATTCTTGCCACACGTGGTTCCAAAGGATATTTCATAAGTCGCAGGATATACGTGTATACATATATTATATATTTTTTAAGGATATTACTTCTACTAGGATATTATACTACTATTCAGAGTATCCATTCAGAAGGGGCACGAATCTTGTCTCTAATCTTTTTTGTGTAGTCTGCAATTTGTTATTCGCGATACTTTCGATTGATATCTCCAGACTAGATTATTGAGAACTGCATGACGTTGACCAGATACGCTTTTAAATGTATCGCAAACGTGTGCCTTTTTCTCCAAGGATATCGTGGGCCTTCTCGTTGACGGATAACGTGACGGGATCTATTATCGTCAGACAATCATCGTCTAATTACTTAATCGTTCCATCAGACGCGCGTTGTTACGAAAGACATTTCTGTGATCATTTTAATGAACTACTTCGCTGGTCGAATTACGTTTATAGCATTCTCCTGCTCGCGGGAGTCCACGCGCTCTGTTCGTGGCTCCCGGTCTAAAGTCGACGAGTTCTCGAATGTAGCCGATACCGACGATGCGCGTTACTTCGTTTTGAGATTAGCTACCACTATCGATTACTATACTAGTATTATTAGCTGTTAGATAAATTATTGCGTCGCACTTGTATACACGAAGAAACAGAGGAAGAAAGAGAAAGCCGACGTCTTTCCGAGGTATATTCCGGAGACAACGAGGTCGGAGAAAGATTCCTTGTGCGCGAATGAGAAGAAAGATAAAGGCTTTCGGCAGAATCGACCACAGATAGAAGAAAAGTATATTGCGAAGAAGCTTTCGCTTCTCCTCGTTCCGGAGGAAAAGCGGACTTATCTAGTCAGTTATGCGTAGTTAGACGCGTCTAGCTAGTTTACTATTGCGAATTTGTAACGGCGATATCGAAGATCGGAACGTCTCTGTCGACGTTAACGCCGATAAACTGCGAGAATCCTCCTCGTCCGTCGTTCGAAAAGCATTTTGAAATATGACGGCTGCAATACACGAAGTAGACGGTCGACATAAAACGAAGAAGGACGTGATAACGATGACGGATGAACGAACGATGGGCTTGTTGATAACGCTAGTTAACAACCCGCGAACCGGTGACAAAGATAGTCCGCCTCCAGTTCGAGCAGATTGTCGCCTGTACGCCTGTGTTACAATTCTTCTTTGTCTATTCGCGACTCGTCCGCTTCGCGGAATATCAGCGAGCGGTCTCGACATAATACACATACTTATATAGCGAAATATGTTAGATAGATAAATAAATAGATAGATAGATAGGTAGATAGAGATGCTACGATCTCGCGCACTATTGTGTCCATTCCTCAGATTGCTGGGTATATTTCCGCGAAAGAATAAGAGCGTATTTGAAGGAAGAGAGAAACTCGAAGATCGTGCAGTATTCTTCGAGGAGCGAATGAGGATCTGGCATGGACGCGCGTATTACGCGGCAGGATTTTATAAAATTTATCGAGTTACTCTCCAAGAAGGATAAGCAAGCCCGCCGATTAATTAGCTTGATATACGTACACATATCGGTACTCCTTTTCTTTTTTTTCTTCTATACATTTGTTATCGTCGGTCAAGACAATATTTTAATAAGGCGTGCGTAAAATATATCGCGATTATATCTTGTCTACGAGGGGAGCGAGCTTTCCGCCTCGTTAGAGAATCTCTGCGAGTCCCCCACGATGGAATCGACGCGAGTGCCTGCGTTACGCATGCTCTCGCCGCACACGAGTCCACCTCCTTGGACGATAACTCTCAATAAAATAAATAAATCGAAGTGTCCATGCAACACCCGTCCTTTACAACGCACTTCCATCGGCGAACGTCACGCACGTGACGGTGCGTGCTCGTATTTTGTATTAACGACAGCGGTGTGATTGTCTCAAATGTCAGAGAAAGACGTTCCAGACACGTTGCGCTCGCCGGAACTAGGCCAGACAAAAAGAGACACTTCGTTCCGTTCGGGAGGCTCGGTAAGTCCATGCCTTGCTGATGCATCGTCGGATGTGTCGGAGAACGATGCCTACTCGCAAGACTCTGTTGAGACAGCTTGGACAGAGAATTATACCTGTAACAATAAGTGGAAGACGCCTTCCAGTCGATATGATGTCGCAGAATTAAAGGAAGCTTTATGTAACACGTGAATATGCGATCTCTGACGAAAGAGGAATCTATTCTTGCATCACATTTGAATTCGAGCACGAATATAACGTGTATCTTGAGAACGAAACATGATATTATAAATAGTAAAAAGTAGCGATTGCCGATAAATCGTGTGCGAGAACGTTTATACTTTCGAGCGAAGCATTTGCACGAGAGGATACATGGAACTGTCAGTCGGCCACAAATGCTTGTTTCGACTGAATGGACGGCATTTAAGTCTTCGTTGTTGCGATAATTATCATTCCAATGGATGTTTTCGCGCGTGGTATTGGCGGCGGCGGCGACGGCGGCGGCGGCGGCGAGTGCACCTTCGATGGTGCTTAGCCTACCGTCAAAGTAATTACGCAAATAATAGTCGAGCTCGTAATGATTGTACAGGGTGACCCAAAAGATGCGTACCGCGCAGGCAAAAAATTTGAAGCCGACTTTCTCGCGCGGGGAAAGTTCAAGAGATTCAGAAAAAGGAGAAGAAGAATGCCTAAAGTATAAGCGTCTGTGGAACCAACAAAAGTTCTCCGTCAAAAGACACAATTACTGAATACGATAACACGAAGATCTAAATGTTCTCGCTGTCTGTCCACTCGGCAGAATGCTGCAGAGTGTGACGAGTCTAGTCAAATCCTACGGAGACAAACGACTAACTTGGACTTCCTTCCACTTGGATGAGAGCTTTCTTTGGAGAGAACTCGGAACACACTCATTTTTCCTCGACACACGTATTTTGGGCATTCGAAGTGCTCGTCACTGCAACCTGTGCAGTGTGACGTTGTGATACGATGAAGCTACTGACCGCGTATACTATCAGTACTCTCGTGAAGGTACCGATACAATTACCACAGCGCGCCAGCCAAGTACGTGGCGCAGAGAAAGAGGAGGAAACGAATGGCCGCCAGTGGGATACACGTGATGTAGGCGTGCCTGCATTTGCTATTCAGGCTTTTTGCGAGAATTCCTGTCGACATTAGATCGCGCTCTCAAGGACTGACCAGCGATTGTATCGATACAACGCGGTAATAATCCCGTACGAGCGTCAAGCTACTCGCGCAACTGATAGAGTTATAAAATTTGGAATCGGACGAGAGAGAGAGAGATTTTCGAGCGAGACGTACTTTACATTCGTACGTTTCACTCGTACTTAGTAATACAACAATGTCTTGCGCGACATTTTGAGTGTTCTCGCCTTAGGGAGGAATCGACGCGAGGTACACTGAGAAAAAAACACTCGACAATTTATTCGTGGGATAAGTTTATTTCGCAGAAGTAAACTTTACTTCACAGAAACAAGCTTTACTTCACAGCCTTATGATCCACAAGTAAATTTTCAAGCATTTTTTCTCAGTACAGAGAAAGAGAATAATCGGTGCGAAAGTGTCACACTCGAACGTTCTGATAACGCGTCGGCATCTTGTGCATACAATGATAAGCGAGGTAATTGCTGGATAATTCCTTCGATAATTGTGAGACCAGCGAAGTGTCATATAAGCAAACTAGACACCTTGCCGACGATTTCACAGAAAAGAGAAAATCCCGACTTTTCCGATAACTCTCGAGATAATCGTGTGTGAAACTTTGTCGCGGAAATATTGAAACACGCAAATGGACGATTTCGTAGGACGATGGATGTAGTTTCCGAGAACATACGTATTTTTGTAACACAATATTTTCGATATCTCTCGCCTGTAGATATGAAATTCACTCTTGTACACAGAACGCATCGACATTATCAGTTGCTTACAAGATGTGTGTTCTCTTTAAGCTAATATATCGTAACGTGTGAATTTTTTAACTGATGTCGCTTCTTCTCTTGCAGAATGGTGGTTTACAAGAGACGGCAGTACTATGCGCCCGGTCCTTCGACGAGCAGGAGGAAGATTGACTTGTCGAGCGGCGGCAACCTATATCGAAAGCGGATCGCGTACACCGAGCTGAAGGACATGAACAACGATTGATGATCGCTCGTTGTCTAGATGATCGATTCGCTCAATTAACTAGTGAAAGAAGGTAACACACGCGTGCGAGCGCGCATACGCGGAAGGAAGTGTCGAGGAATGTAGGAGAACGTCAGGATGGCAGGACGCAGTCAGAATACGTAGTCGCCGGAGTCAAGCGCGTGCAGGATACAAGTGGGATGCAGCTGTGCTCGAAGCTGCCTCGAAGATGGAGAAGAACGAGACTGACTGGCGCGAAGATTGCGGCGAAAGATCGAAGTGGAAGATCAAGGTGGAAGGAGAACAGGCGTTCAGGGAATGGCACGACATGACATGCCACGTCACGTCACGGCATCGCGTCGCGTCGCGTCGCGTCGCGTCGCTCTGGCAAGGTTCTCCAGCCTGCGAAACCGAGGAACGCTTCCGGTCAAAATGTCCGTTCGTTCGCTCGCATTATCGCTCAAGTACCCATGACTGCGCCTCGAAGAGAGAAGGTACCAAAGAAGAGTTCGAGAGTCGCGTGACTCCGAGTCGTTGCTTCCGTCTAATCTAACAACGCTCGTTGCGAAACAAGAGTAAGAGAGTAGAAAGATTAAGTCTGTCACCGCAGCGATTTAACAGGATCTAGTTTTAATTAATAGCGTTAAATGTCGGACGATGGGATAACGAAATTTCATATATCACTTATCGCGTCACCCGACAAACGTGCAATCAAAGTAGGAAGATCAAAGTTATTTCAAGCACAAGGCAGGGAAGAGGCGAAGCAGGCGATTAATGAAAATAAAAAAGAGCGATGAAAAAGCCGTCGGACTCTGCTATTTGCGGATATTGGTGATTAAGAAGAAAGAAAAATAGTGTGCGTGCGTGCGTGCGTGCGTGTGTGTGTTGTGTGTGTATGCGCCTATGCATGCATGCGCCGATGCATGTGTACGATTTATACAAGAGGAATCGCGTTGGATATTTTGCAGCATATCGTGGATATTGTGTAGATGAATATAGATAATTGACGACATTATACAGATAACTTATTGACGCGCGAGAATGTTGTATTTTTGCTGATATTTTTATAAGCGCATTACATGTGTATGTTTATTAGCGTGATTAGCAATCGCATCGAGTGTTAATATGACAATTTTAATCAACGTTCTCGATCCATCCCGCGCCGACGTAATCACTTCTTGCGTCGTGCAAGATGGTTGAAAGTTCCTTTTGCCGATCCTTCGAAAGAGCTTTCACGCGCTCAACTAGTTTTACTCGCCGACCAGAGGTACAGCTATGATTTCGCTATGATATTTGTTTTATTTAGCGTTAAAGTGAGGCTTTTCGTAGAACATAGAGTTATACTAGAGAAAAAGAAAGACGCCGGAAGAGCGACGAATGTGTATCTCTAATTTGCATTTTGCACGTGACACCGCTCTCTATCGTTGCCGTTGTTGCCTGCGCGAGGAAAAGGAGGAGGAACAGCGTTTTTATTGTAAATAGCCTACCTGGCGCCGTGCTTGCTGTGATCCTTGCTCTTATTGCTGTCTGCCGTATTTTTAGACTGTCTATCGCGGTCGCACGTGCGCGGATCATAGCAAGCGTGAGTGCCAAGAGATACCGATAAACGCGCGAATCTCGCGGACGAAAACGGCGTTGCGCAACAAACAATCGGTCGATCGGTCTAGAGTCGTTTATTAATAGCCGTTATACGGCTACCAATTACGATTGGAGCCGAGTGCCGAGCAGGATTTAGGTTTCAGTTTATTTTATTAGTATTATTAACATTATTATCATGGTCATTATTATTATTATTGTATACATATATGTTTTTAAGCAGACAGCTTATTGGATCGTCAGGCGTCTCAAATGCGAGTCTTCGTTTAAGTAACGACGACAATAATCAACGGAGGATATAGAACTTTCATTAGCTGCAACTGTCTATTATAAGGTAGTCACATTTTTGTTATTTTCCTTTATGAGATTCTACAAGCATATAAAGAAATCTTAATATTATTGAATTATCAAGCGTAGTTGCATTGAGTCGTTTTGCAACCTGGCTTTAATTCATATCCTTCATGTCGCAAATCATTCATGTGTTGAATGTAATTTTATGAATTGTGAAAGTGATATCGATGCGGGTATCATCGATTCATAATGCGTCATTTTGATCAAGAACCAAGGCAGGTTTATAGTATTGTTTTAAGGTTTATTGTGTTATCTAAGATCATTATTATTATGCAAGTTCTCGCAAAGTGACTCGATGAAATGCGCGCTCGAAACGGCTAATCCGTCACGACAAATTTACGAGGCGAGCGACTGTCTCGAAACCTCCTCGCTCTATCAGCGTCGACAAGTTAGCTCGAATTTTCAGCTCATTATCCGAGAAACAAAGTTCGCGGATACCCCGGGCGAATTATTCCTCTCGCGATCGTTTACATTTAGAAACTGAGGCGAGAAAAGCCATATGTGAGGAGAGGTACGCTTATAATATACGTATTAGAGATACGTATTAAATTACAAGCGAGTTTATATACAAATACCGATTATACGATTGCCACTGGATGTGCGGGAACGACACAAAGAATGTTATTGGAGTGTGTACGAAAAGAGCGACGCGCGTCGCGTTGCGCTAGTAATCGGATTAGTGTAAAGCTGGAATTAAACTAACGATTGCCGATTGACAACAGACGATTAGTATTTAACTAAAATATTTAAGAGCAACACGATCAGTAGTTACTTTGCTTCAATTGGTTGAAAACTAATCGGCAATTGCTAGTCTGATTCGGGTTTAACGATGATCGAATCACGAGATTCGAAGAAATGTCTCTCGTATATCTTAAGTCTGATCTACAATATGCTCTTTGCTTCCTGCTTCTTTCTCTTTATCTCTTTCTGACTCAAACCTTAAGTTTTAAGGCTCCTGGGGAGTCGCATCATCTCTTTTTAATGACGTCAGAAGCGAGAAAACGTATGCTAAAAATTCCTGCAAAATACGTCGAGATAAACAGATATATCCACAAAACGACATTTGCGATCGATTAAGTACACCTCTAAAATACTCCGTACACTTTCCTTTTGTTCTAACAATCAACAGATAATTATAAAATAAATGTGACGTGCAATCGTCTTTTCTAACCTAATTTTCTCATTATCTTGTCATATTAATTTTCCGATTATCTATTGATTTTTAGAACAAAAGGAAAGTGTACGGAGTATTTTAGAGGTGTACTTAATCGATCGCAAATGTCGTTTTGTGGATATATCTGTTTATCTCGACGTATTTTGCAGGAATTTTTAGCGTTTTCTCGCTTCTGACGTCATTAAAAAGAGATGGATGATGCGACTCCCCAGGAGCCTTAAGCCAGAAAAAGATAGAAGAAACAAAACGCAAAGAGCATATTGTAGATCAGGCTTTAGGGAAACGCGCTACCTCAAGAAGGAGCGTTTCCACGTTTTAACGTGCGTAGACGTGAAGGAAGAACGGCGATTTTGTTCGTTGGCAAAAGCAGTATTAGCAAAGTATATGCGGAAGTAATTCTGCCGGACACACGTTGATATCATAGAAAGCGAGATGCACCGCGCGAGTAACTTCACTGCGATTTGCGCATGTTTAATAGTAAATATCATATTTTGTTTAATAGCGAATATTAGTTTTTTTTAGATCCACTGACAGAACGTTTCGCGTCCGTAACGCGAGTGTCGGATGCACATCGAACGTGATAGATAAAATCAATTTTAGTTGAATTGTGATTCGCAGCTTAGACAGGATAATCGACATTTTTTATTATTTGATCAAGTTCAACTAAATGCGCGCTGAGGCGATCGAGATGAGAAGGCGATGTTAATTGAGTCTCTTAGATGGCAAACTGATTAAATCCGCGTTTTCGCGCGTAAATTTTTCAATTGAGAAGTTTACGAAAAGTTTATGAAGAGTGAAGTAAATCGATTTGGCTTCTGAGAAGCTTGATTATCGTAACATATACATAAACTACGGAGTAGTTAATATCTTAGTTAAATACGGAGATAAATATTTCAGCTGCGCAATGAACACGAACGATCGACAAATAGCGATTGGAAAACTCTGATACACAAATTGTAGATAGCACACATATATATATATATATATATATATATATATATATATATATATATATATATATATATGTATATATATGATATGTACACACACTTCGATAATTGTGATACTTGAAAGTAAGTAGATACGTTTACTCTGTTCTCTATGTTGCATCGAGTCTTTCCTCTTGATTTCCGCGTTCGCTTTTTGTCCAGCGGATGCGACGAGCCCGGTTTCGTGCCCAACGCAGAAACTGGTCGACGGTGCGCCGCGATAGTTAGAGAATAATTTATTAAACATTCTGTACAAAGATCGCACCTTCCGCCTACGATCCTCTCGCGCTCATCTCCCCCTCATAGGAAGAGAAAAAATGTGTACATATATAAATACGTTCACGTGTATAAATACGTAATAATATATTTATGTATGATTATACATGCGTTCAGTGCCTTCATCAGCGTCATAGAACGTCTCTTAGCGCGCGTGAATTAATGCGTAAATTACAATAGAAGTTTGTTTCTTGCGAGTAGTTTCACTGCGTCTTTCTGCATCTCTCACTCTCTTTCTCTTGTTGGTTTCGTCTGTACAGACGCAAACCCACGGAGAAGTGATCACGTTCGATCACGAGGTAAGTGACGCTACTGTGCGCTCGACTATATACACTACTCGTTCGTGCGAGTAAAAATGACAACACACGTGATATATACTTGTAGATGATTATTTGTATTTGTACACAATACTATATATAACAACAAGGAAAAATACTGAATGAGAAACAGATGCCTTATTTGGTGTATCACACGGGCGCAAGCCAGAAAACCATGTCGCAATATATAGAGCATCTATTTGGTTGACTATACAATTTAATACTCGTTTATTAGCGGGGAAAAAACTCGACTACGTTACTATCTAAACGAAATGTATCCTCGGGTTCTCCACTCGTTTGCACGATTTCTTTAAACATATTACATTTTACGAGTACGTACAGACGTTACACAAATATAACAGTGGAGAATATTACGGACTATTTATTTTATACAATACTTATCGAATTTTATACTTTCTCTCTCTCTCTCTCTCTCTCTCTCTTTCTCTCTGTCGCACATACACACGCGACAAGCGCGTCTCAGACATTCGTTATCGGACGAGTTGAAACTCGTGGAAGGAATCGCGATCTACGATTAATTAAGTAGGTAAGTAGTAAGATAATAGTAGTACTGGCTCTTCGTCTTGTGCGAATTTTTTATGCGATTCAAATTTTTTGCAATATATAAGTCATAGAAAAATATAGATTATATATCGCGAAAGAGGTTTATTCCCGATAATAATATCCGCCTGGTACAGTGGACTTTCGTTTAAAGACTTTCGTTTAGATTTCATACTTTCGGCAATCACCATTTCACATTATTGTTCGAACATTTTTTCATCGAATAGCGTTTTCCCCTCTTCCTTCCTCTCTGTCACCCCTTTTTCTTAAGTGAGGCAGCCTTAAGATTTGCGAGCTCAAGAAACGCGTGTATGTCGAATTAATCAGTAATCCATACGAGTATAGAAACTAACACGAACACTATATTACATATAAGAGAGTTAGTCTAAACGTTATTTCGTAATAGCGACGCGTCGATATACGCTCGATTTACTGGTAAAACGGCGCGTAAATTCTCCAGAAATAATTTTCGTCCGTGTCGGAGAAAAGGCATGCGGTTGCGAAGTATATATTTCGCAGGATATATAAGTTACGTGTCATCGTATAAAACAGAGGCCTCAGTCTAAGTTGCTAAGAGTCTCTCACCCGTATAAAAATTTCGGTAGAATGTGTACGTAAAAACGGAAACAAATTCTTACATCTTTTAATACAATATTGAAGGACAACGATACCTCGTTTTGAGCGCTATTAAAAATAAAAGTTTCCTGAAAATAACTGTGTACACTTGTTTTCAAAACGATTTGAACATTTTTCTCCACAACGCGTTGTGAAACGTAGCCGATGGTCCAATGAGAAAATTTGTTTTTGATTAATCCCCAGAAGTTATATTCTCTCATTGGACCTTGGGCTGTGTTCCAAGTTACATCGAGAAAAAATGTTTAAACTACCTCGAAAACCAGTGTATGCGCGCAGCACACGTGGAAGATTTGCAGAATCGCGTCTCGACTTAAAGTAGTAAATAAAATACTAACGAGAGTGGCTATGAAACAAAACGACCGCGTGTTCAGAACACAACGCACGTCTGTCGTAATGTAATGAGCAACATTTTGATCGGCGAACTCGGATGAAGCCAAACAAGTCGGCGTGCATTCGCACGAGGTCGTATTCGCGCTTGGCGGGGGAGCAAGGGGAGATAAAAGATAAGAAGTGAAAACAAAAGAAACGATAGGGAAGACCAAGTATCTAAAATCAACGCTTTGGTGTACAGATACACATCCGCTTGTTGGTTACAATCGTTTCCCAGGATAAAATGACGCATTAGTTCCTTTCCTTTTTCTTTGCGTGTATGCAGTTGTTATAAATAGCCGCCTAACTCTTTACGCGGTGTAGTAACCCTAGAATAAATATCTATCACAAAAGGCTGGTCTAATATAGGTGGCTTTTGCGCTTCATAGTGATGTTCTCTCGCGGTCGCTGCGCTCAGGAACGTAGCGCGTTCGCCGAACGCACGCCAACGCGCTCTAATAATAATACTAATAGTTACGGTAGAATCTAAAGGTCTAAATTATTTACATGTTTTATCATCTCATCAGACTCGTCCGCCGCTATCGTGTGTCGGCTTGAGTCGCATAGACATAAATACGATGACGTGTAAGTGTGAGTTTCGTTTATCGCTCTTATCATTTCCGTTGTACTTGCACTGCGTAGTGACGTTCGAATTCCTCAGCCCCGTCGCTACTTTTTTTTCCCTTCTTTTACGTACCGTTAACATCTCGCAGATCCGGACTCGCGTAGACAATATCTGGTCGATGTGTCGTCGAGTGAGTTCGCGAGTGTATTTCGCGCGTTGCACGGATCAACGTCCGTCGATCGAGCTTGTTTTCGGGACCGTGAGTCCTTGCTCCTTAATACTATTACTACGTCTTGTTAATTTTTACACGACTTGCAGAATATTTATCTTATGTTAAGGACACTAGTCATTTGTCGAAATACTCTTTCTTTCTTTCTTTCTTCCTTCCTTCCTCTCTCCCTTTCTGCTCACGAAGAGAATCCTCTTCAGCACTTTTCACCGTTCGCGAAGAGAAACGTACGTACGTTGGCTCATCTCGCTCGCACTAATTGCGTTGGCCCAACGTTTCCGTTTGTTAAACCGCGGAATCAGCGTTCTCGTTCTCATGTCGCTCGTGATTTGTGTAACGTAGAAGGGGATCATCGACATTTATGGTTCCCATTTCTTCCTCGTTGTTGGCGGAACTCGTCGCAATCTCCTCTGATGAATGTAAAGATGCAAGATTGTTATCTTTTATGTAACAATTAATGGGCGATTTATAATTCATTAACCTACCGGGTAAGCAAAGTTGCAACTGGTCGTTGCTGGGATTGGTGCTGTCTCCGGTGCCGCTATCTTTGCTGTGCTGCGAGCTCGTATCTAGGTACAGTTGTGTCTGTGCGTCCGGTACGGTCAGGATGACGGTGGTAGTGGTCGGCTGCGTCGTAGTGTTCTGCGTAGAGTTCAGCCGTCGTCTGGTCTGGTAGATGATGACCACCCAGATCACAGACGTGCCGACGGCGCAGCACACCACAGTTATTATTATCAGGCTCAGTATGTCGTCCTCGTTCACCATCGAAGCCGGAGCTGGATGTTGGACAGATACGACCGGATAAGCGGGATACGTTTTCGCGCGGAAATCTCATCAACGAGATCCAATTACCTGGATTGACCGTCAGATGCGACGCACCGACGACGCTGCCCAACGAGTTGCTCATCTCGCACTCGTAACTACCCGCATCACTTGCTATAGTGTTGACTATTATCAACAACTGATCCATGGCAGTGAAGAAATGCCGCTCGGTCGCTTGCAACGGGCTGTCGTTCTTCCGCCAGGTCAATTTCGGCCGCGGCGAGCCGCTCGCCATGCATTCAAGTACGATCGAGTCGCCGACCATTATCTCCTTGTTCTCCATTGGTTTCACAAACGATGGTTTTTCTGCAAAGCGCAAAACAACTCTTTACAATAACACAAAGATGTATCCCGAAATGTTCCGAGACAGTACGGGAGAAAATAACTTTTCACCTAGTATCGTAAGAGTGGCATTCGCAATGATGAGGCCAGCTAAGTTTTGCGCGGTGCACGAGTAGACGCCGCTGTCGGCCATTTTCACGTCCACTATGAATAGCACGTCGTCCGTCGGCATCATGTGCATCCGTCTCTCCCTCGCTGCTGGAAAATCGTTCCCGCCATCCTTCTGCCAGGCTATCTGCGGAGATGGCTGTCCCTTGGCAGAGCACTCCAAGCGCGCGGTCTTTCCAGCAATCACCCGTATGTCGTGTGGTATTTTGGAGAATGACGGATAAACTGTGCCAGAGAAATTATTTAGTATTAGTATAATTAATAGACTATGAAGCATGTGTGTATGAGTGTAACTCGTGAATATATATCTTGTTGATATATTCGATATAATGAACGTGCATAACTTACCTAACACGCTTAAAGTGGCTTTGGCAGAGTATGTGGTGCCATAATTGTTCGTCACCATACACTGATACTTTCCCTGATTGGCATGAGTCACATTAATCAGTTGCAAAACGGATGACGTCTCAGTTACTCCGCTCGCGGAAGAACCGCTGTTAGTATGCAGAATCGCGCTGTCCAACTCCACGTTGTCGTGCTTCCACGTGAAATGAAGCGGCGCGACGGCGGTACTGGTAGCGCGACAAACCAACGTCACGTTGTCCCCTTTGATGCTTATTTGGCTCACGGGCTCTTCGATGATCCGTGGCTTCGGATACTCGTCTGTGTTTCATAGATACGTTTAGTGTTGAAGGTTTTACGGTTTTACTGCATTGGTGCGATTTAACACTGACCACAAGTGAAGTTAGCATGATGCAGTAATGTTAACGACATTCCCTGTAGCCAATGTGGATAGCCGCAGTACACCTCAGCCCCGCTGTAATGATGCTCTCGCAACCACATGCTCAACCACTGAAGCCCGCAGTCGCAGACCAACGCTCCTAATATATGGAAACAGAGAGGAAATGTAAACGATCACAGGAATACATAACTCGACCAAAGTGTATCCGTGATATATTTGCGACTGAGGACGCAGAACTCGAACTTACGAGTGTTCATCTTGAGTTTGTTCAGATTAGGCATTGGGAGAAATGCGTTTTCTTGAATGGTCGTAACGTTGTTTCCTATCAAATTGAGTTCCGCGAGGCTAATCAAACCGGTGAAGGCGTTTTGATTTATGGACTTCACTTTATTGTAAGCCAAGCTCAGTTTCCATAACTGGCTGAGGGAAGAGAACGCGCCATTAATATCCTCCACCATGTAAGACACCTTATTCGAATTGAGTTCCCTACAAACAAAATGATAATTGTGATATACAGAGAGCTGATCATAGAGAAATCTTTAGTAGATTAGGAGCAATAACCGAGAAGTGCGTACAGAATGCGCAGGTTTGTCGTGTAATTGAACGCTCCATCTGAGATGTATGCGATCTGATTGTGATCCAGCTTAAGCCTCTCCAGCTTTGTGAGATATTCGAATGATTCCCGTTCGATAGAAGTCAGTTCATTATGCGATAAGTCCCTGAAATAAGATTAAGAATCCAAAGTTTCATATTGATCTATTAATACACACATTTGTGCATGTTAATTTATATTAATTTACGAAGAAGCTATAGATAAGAAATGATTCTCATTTGCATTATCTCATCGCTAAACATTCCAATATCCAAACTGACGTTTAGATATATTTAATGGGATTATAAGAATATGTTACTCACAACTCCGTTATTTGCCTGCATATTTCCCACGCTTGCATCTCGATCGTCGAGATATGATTGTGCGACAGGGTGAGCTTCTTCAGATATTCCAATCCGAATAAACCGCCTTTGCTAATAGTAGTTAGCATATTGAAGTCGAGCTGTAGCGAAACTAGATTTTTCAGCGGCCAAAAGGCCCCGTCGTCCAACACGCTGATTCGGTTCCTCTTTAATCGTAATTCCTCCAGGCTATTTAGACTCTTAAGGCTCAATCCGTGAATTTGTTGCAGATCGTTTTTGTTTATCTCCCTGCGAAACGTCATGCATTCGAAATACATAGGACGTGCAGATGCAATAACCTACACGCGTGAGCGTTGTTAATATATTACCGGCACGTTAGACGCAAACACTTACAGTATTCGTAGCTTCCCCAAACTCGTGAACATATCCTTCACCTGTGTCAGGTTGTTCTTGTTCAGACGAAGTTCCACCAGATCAGTTAAATTATCGAAAGTTCCATTTTCAATAAATTTTATGTTGTTCGCGTTTAAATTACTGCGAATGTAAAAAAAGATTAGATGATGTGGTCGATGCGTCACGTAACACAGGCTCTTAAGCCACCGATAAGATACGTACAGATGCGTAAGTTTATTAGGAGCAAGGAAAGATCCTCTTTGAAGGACACTTATTTTATTTCCACTAAGATCCAGGTTTTGAAGTTGTTGTAAACTGAGCAATGCAGTCCCATTTATATCGGTAATTAAGTTATGAGATCTAAGAAGGAGAAAGGAAGTAATTGCGATGACAATTCACGTTCAGATCACGTTGGAGAAGACGCGCGTAGTCAAAGCGCAGAAAATACTTACAGCGTAAGGTGAGTAATATTCTTAACAAATACAAGATCTGGCACTTGTGTCAAGTGATTTCTGTTCACTTTAAGCTCGCGCAGTAATGCGACATCCGACAAGGCAATGGTAAAGTTGTCTTCGAGTTTATTAGCACTTATATCTCTGAAATCACAAGCGGTTGGAAATAAAGTTATTCGCGTCACGAACGTGTCTAATTTTAATTTCATAGTAATTGTTTATTACATGCTTACAATTCTTTGAGTTTTGTTAAATGAAGCAACGAATCGAATTCCAAGTTAGCAATATTGTTGCCCTTCAATTCCCTGGAAAACGAAAGATCCAAATAATTTTGCATTCCCACGCATCACACACACACACACATACACACACAAATGACGAGCGATAATTCACAATTTACACGAGTGATAAAAATTATTTTACATACGTCGCGAACAGAAACGTATCTTGCGTAACACATCTGCTATTGTATACATTTATAGTTGATCTTGATAGATATGTTAAACGTGTAATATTTGATTTATATACTCTAGACTAGATATATACAAGATTTGCAGTCCTTACTCGCTTTTGATCTGTACAGGGTATTTGACAATACGTTGTGTAGCCTCGATGCGAGTCTCATCAAATAGAACAAAAAATTTCCCAGGCAGCAAGGTAACATCTAAAGACGTCATTTAGACGTGCTACCTGGGTTCTATATTATTTCGCAAACATAAAATTTTATCGTTTTACAAATGATTGCGTTCATTTTTAATTATTAATAAAAAAAAATGAATGCATTATCGCGGAGGATCATACATCAATTTTCTTTAATTAATAATTAAAAATCCACGTAGTTATTTGCAAAATGGTAAAAGACTTTTTTGTTCAGTTTGATCTAATGCACAAGCGCACACACACACACACACACACACACACACACAACAGACATTCATCTATCGTATCGCGCGTGATCGTTAACTAATCTTCTTTAATTAATAACTCAAAATTTTACATTGTTGTTCGCAAAATAATAAAGAAATTTTGTATTCTATTTGATCACAGAAAGAGAAAGAGAGAATTGTACCTGCACGCCACGGCTGCAGGTAAAAGAATCGTCAGACACCCTGTATATTATCTCTATTTTTATTTAGTCACGTTGTGTCGAGCAACCAATCTTCTTTAATTAATAACTAATTTCATTAATTAATCTTTTTTAACTAATAACTAATTTCATTAACTAATCTTCTTTAATTAATAACTCAAAATTTTACATTGTTGTTCGCAAAATAATAAAGAAATTTTGTATTCTATTTGATCACAGAAAGAGAAAGAGAGAATTGTACCTGCACGCCACGGCTGCAGGTAAAAGAATCGTCAGACACCCTGTATATTATCTCTATTTTTATTTAGTCACGTTGTGTCGAGCAACCAATCTTCTTTAATTAATAACTAATTTCATTAATTAATCTTTTTTAACTAATAACTAATTTCATTAACTAATCTTCTTTAATTGATAACTCAAAATTTTACATTGTTGTTCGCAAAATAATAGAGAAATTTTGTATTCTATTTGATCACAGAAAGAGAAAGAGAGAATTGTACCTGCACGCCACGGCTGCAGGTAAAAGAATCGTCAGACACCCTGTATATTATCTCTATTTTTATTTAGTCACGTTGTGTCGAGCAACCAATCTTCTTTAATTAATAACTAATTTCATTAATTAATCTTTTTTAACTAATAACTAATTTCATTAACTAATCTTCTTTAATTAATAACTCAAAATTTTACATTGTTGTTCGCGAAATAATAAAGGAATTTCGTGTTCTATTTGATCAGGGAAAGAGGAAGAGAGAGAATTCTACCTGCACGTCGCGGCTGCAGGTAAAAGAATTGTCGGACACCCTATATATTATCTCTTATTTAGTCACATTGTGTCGAGCAAGTGCCCTTGCAGTCGCGCTGTATACTTTAATACCTTAAGCGGCATAGACGCGTATCTTTCTCGCATAGATCTCGCTATCCTTGACTCTGAACATTGGGGACTTACAGCGATCAGCCACGATCACACACAGCACCCTATATGGCTATAGAAACCTGACCGTGTATCTGTAGAGTCGGTTTCATCAATCTGGTCATTCGGTGCTGGTGGAGAGACAAGCGACCCACATGCAGCCGTAACAAGCAATATTGCCCTCTCCCTCTCTGCCCCTTCCCACCCGCCCCTCCTCCCTATCCTTGATTCGACTCCCAAACAACATATAGAGTAATAACAGTTATCATCCAATAAATAATAAATTGCTACATATAATGGCGCTTCTGCCGACCAATTTTTATTACGAACAAACGAGCGAATTGGTCAATCTGCATTTCGACGCGCACCGTTCGTTCGGATCGTTGGAAAACTTTTTTCTCGAAGCCACAAAAGAAGAGCTAAGGTAAATATACCAATGCCCGGAGATGTATCCATCTCCGGAAATTGTTATTATTTTTATATTTGAACATGAATATTTCAACTTTTAATGTACAATACATACATATTGTGGTATACATACATTTAATATTTATATTAGTGTACGTTGAAAGATGAAATATTTAGAGAAATATTCAAAATAATAAGAATGTCCGGAATTAGGTACATGTCCGGGCATTGATACATTTACCTTAATTAGGAAGAGATGATTTAAACGCGATTGAAAGTACGTTTTCGATGATATAGTGCTGTGCGATAACGAATATATACCGTAAACACTCGGAATTAAAAGAACAAAAACAAACGTACAATTCTAGAGTGTATGTACTCCGCGAGTTCTATCTCCGGAGATTATTTCTCCATTGAAAGCTTTCCCTTTATCTTATCTGCGCTATAGCTTGGGTTACACAATGAGAGAGTACGCCGCCCAACCCTACACAATCTCACTCTCGAGCGTCTCTCGAAGACGAACAATGTGATCCCTATACACCCGCACAGAGGTCATGAATGAAATGTATTCGGCAGCTCGGCGAGGGACGCACCTACGAACCACGGTGCAGAACCGGTCTTGGGCGCTAACAAAAGTATCTCCACCATACCTAACCGACGTCGGTCTCTTCGATTGTTAACAAGCAATGAGCCCAAACCGACGGCCGACCGTGGCAATATAGACCCGAGAATTTTAGCTGCACTCTTTTGCATTTAAAATGAGACGGGTGCACGCTCGAGTTTGGTGAGCGAATGAGAGTGAGAAGGAAGATGAGAGAGCGAGAGATAGGGAAAGAGAGAGAGAGAGAGAGAATGAGTAAGAAAGAGAGAGAGAGAGAGAGAGAGGCGGAAGACGCGAAGTGCAGCGAGTGCAACTGAAACTAACGATTATTTATTTACTCACAAGATCTCGGTCCATGGTGGCAGTCCGCTGGGTGCCTCAACCAGCTGCAGTTCGCTGCAGGCGACCAGGTTGCCGAGGCAGGAGCACTCGACCGGACAGCGATCCGCTTTGCCGCCGCCGCCGTCGTCGTCGTCCAACGTCTGAATACTTTTCGCGCCGATCAACGGTGCGTTGAACGTGAGCAAGCAAGCCGTGATTAACAGGATCGCACTGTCGTAGCTCCTCTTCTTCCTCCTCTTGCACTCGACGGATGGATAAGTCACGGCGTGTGCGAGGCTTCGCCTCGGCGAACCCCGCGACATCGTACGTACGTACGTACGTGCGTGCGTGCGTGCGTGCGTGCCTGAGTGCGTGCGTATGTACGACCGCCACAACGCACAATGCACAGCCAGCAGCAGTCGCGCTGTCTACGACTAATCGGTAACGCGACGTTCGCCAATACCGTGTTGCTCCATCGCGCCGTCGTTGCTGATGCCGCTGCTCTGTAGGACGACGACGCCGCTCCTAAGCGAGCCAATTAGCATAATAACGCGAGAGGATGCCCACGCCGTGTGATCGATTCAAAACAAACTGCCCCTGCTGCTTCTTCTCAAAAACGCTGCTGCCTACGCACCATGATGACGCCTACGGGACAACTGCTCCTCACCTACCTCGCCTCTGTACGCGCGCCCACTGCTGCCACCTGGAAAAATGGTGGATGACGAGCAGTTCGGGAAGCGACACGCCGTTGGGAACGTGCCCCAAGCTCGAGTGACTTCCTTCTGGGAGTGACTGGTTCGTGCGAGCTGATGCAACGGAGGACGCGAATTGACACGCAGTGCCGGTTTCGTGAGCGACGCGGTGAACGCATCGGTGAGTAGAGCGACAAGATATCCTCACCGTTCGCTTGCCGTTTACCCTAGTGTCAATACCGTTAATATTCGCCTGCTTCTCGTACACTTGGTTCTACCACCGTCGAATTTCCCGAGATCTCGAGAAACATCGTCGACATGGAGGAGAGAATATTGCAGATGCTCGAGGACGTCGGGTGAGTAGACAAAGGTTATATCATGAGAGATTCTTGAATATATTAAAGTCCGAGCATAAATAGAAGTAGAATTTAAATATGGTGAAGAACTGGTCGAATCTACAAAGTTTATCCATCGTGCTTTATGAGGACATAATTTTGCCCAAGTGTTTTCCTATTGTACTTTTCATTATATTTTCATTTTATTGGGATATGCCACATGGGGGACTAACATTTGTAACGATGTTACAGGTACACAGGACCATTGCTTGATGCTGAGAAACTGTCACAAGCTTTGAAACTTGGCGCAAAGTCGACGGATTTTACTAGTCTTGTAGCTTGGTTCGCTGAGCAGCTGAGAACATTTATCGACATAGATGAGACTGTTAATGCTACAGCAAGTGCTGAAGATGCCAGTTCCTTTCTCTTAGAGTTAAGTTTCTTCCTCAAGGAAGTAGGATGCATAAATGAGAAACTAATGACTGGACATGTGAATCAAAGATTAGCAAACGAGTCTGAAAGAGCTGTTCTGATAGAATTTTTAGTAACTGAACTTATGGCTAATAAACTGTTAGAGATAAAATATCCTAAAGAGGAGAAGCAGCTGGAAGTCACTATTGTAAGTATTCCAAAGTATCTCTAGTGCTGTTCATTTACAGAGGATAATATCAAATATACAGGCTAACTGACAATTGGCAAAATTTTACAAAATGGCTGTTTACAAAATGATAGATAAATTTTGTATTCAGTTTTATGAGTTCTATTCACATAATAGATCTGTCATGAATTGTCAGATATCCTATATCTTCATTTTACCTTGCAGAATGAAAGCGATACAGCAAGAAACTTGAAAAATATGTTGGTGATGCTGAAGTTCCAGAAGCCACCAGATAATATTTCAGCTGACCAACTGTTCTCAAGATTGGAGGCTAAATTATCAGAATTATTGATGACTGTGCCACCTGAGTTTCTAGGTAAACCCCTCATCGACGTCGAGCTCTCTACAAAACAGTGGGAGAAGCTAGCTGATTTACAGGAAGAAATGCGCAAGGAGTACACGATTCGCCGTGATATGTTGCTCAAGCGTCTTGATGTCACGGTTCAATCGTTTTTGGTAAAAATTGACATAGCGAGAAGCGAGTTTCCTCGCGTGTACAACTTTGTTCTATCACTCAACATGTAATTTCGCGATCTCGCTTTTTACAGTGGTCAGACAGGATAAAGCCGCAGGAGGCTGAAGTGAATTCCAGGTACGAGGAAAAACGGAAGACCATGACGAATGAGCCAAATGTGATAATGGCCGACCTGCTAGCAGCGAGAGACGACTTGGCGGTGATCGAGAAAATGAGTAACGCGAGCGTCCGCAAGAACACGCGAAGCAAAATCAACAGCGTGATCATCGGAGCCGTACCGGACAGAGGTGGGAGACCGTACGAGCAAGAGCCACCTCCGCCAGAGATGCCTCCGTGGCAAAAGGACAGGGTTCCTGGACCGCCATCGTTCCGGTAAGAATCGCGATTGCGAATAATTAAAATACAAATAACGGTAAAATCGGTAAGTTACACGGTATCGTAATTTTCATGCATATTAAATATGTAACTATCGACGAGATAATACTAAAGACTGTTGGTTTCGGGATTTTGCTTACTATAAAATTTCGTTTATTTAATAACCATTTCAGTAAAAATATGTAAAACTGGTGTAGATAATAACTACAAAAATGCAGTTTCATAAAAATATAAAATTAATATTTCATCACACACTGAATGTCCAGTTATCTATATCGAATAATTAAAAATAATCGATAATGTTCTCCTTCTTCCTCCTCCTTTCTCCTTGTTCCCCTCGAGACCCCTTTACCAATAAGAAAATTTACTCAGGACTGATAGTCTTTAGTAATACTTCTATAATATAATGTAACTAACATCTTGTTATATTTCAGGGGAGGAAGAGGAGCAGGAGGCGGCGGTAGAGGAGGAGGTGGAGGTGGTGGCGGTGGCGGCAGAGGAGGAGGTGGAGGCGGTGGTGGCAGAGGAGGAGGCGGAGGCGGAGGCGGGGGTGGCTATCGCGATCATAAAGACGCTACCAACAATTTCGGACAGAATATGGATTATCAGCAATCTCAGTACTCGGGACACGGTCACAGAGAGTGTTATCCGGATCACAGAAATGATGGAGGATATCAGCGGAGTGGCGGCGGCGGCGGTGGCAGAGGAGGCGGAGGCTATTACGGAGATTCCGGTAGTCAAAATTACGGTCAGAATTATAATCAGAATTATGATTATCAGCAACCACATTACTCCGGTCAAAGGAGCTCTTATGGGAACGACAATCGTGGTGGCGGAAATTATTATAATGAAAGAAGAGAAGGAGG